GGCGCTCCCATTTTCTTAACGACGAAATTCGAGATGGGGGTGCAATTACCGAGGAGAAATATTCAATAACACTAAATTAAGGACGCCTTTATTAGTAATACGCCATATTGTACAGCTCATACGTGTACATCAATAAAATGCATGCTTATTTGCAGGACGCTGACTACGTTCGTGTCAGAAAACGAGTTGCATCTGCACCTGAAACTTACGACCCATGATCTCCTCTTTGATGACAGAAGGTCATGGTGACCGTCCACTATTTTGCCAAGGATTCAAGACCTGAACGAGGACCGCTTTCAACGTATACATTTTTATTTATTTCGATCGAGGATTTTTATTTTTCGATCTAGAATGCCATGGATCGCTTCCGACCTTACACTAAGTCGTATCATTCTAGTTATCCATGACAAACAAAATTGTATTTTTTCCATGCTACTTGATCAGAAATGAAGCGATTTACAGGATCCATGACATTCTAGATCGAGAAATAGAAATGGAAATAAATGAAACGACTTTATTTGTCAAATATTGACGTGGTCGAGTTCAGAATGTCATATTCGACCGAAGTAAGTAAAAATATATATGGTCCCATTTCAAAATCAAAAATTGAAGTCGTTCCCGATCTCACTTGAAAGTACGTCAAAGCAAATGAATATGTCAAAAAATGCAGTTCGAATTTCGTTTTTCTTTCTTCAATAATAAAAAAGTTGTAGGGGTGGGCCACCTTGGAGAATCAGCGGGTATACAGAATTTATCTCACTTATAACGATGATATAGTAATACATTTAATTTGATTAGGCTTTGAAATGTAGCATATCTGAGAATTTTTTGAACGTCCGGCAACACTGTGCTAATAAAACACGAGAAATTTGCGTGGGAGAGGGTCATTGCAGTTACATAAAGTCCGACAAAGACAGAAGTTGCTACTCACGTCGACCCATTATTCGTTTCTCAAGCATTTTCAATTTATTATAATCATTTATGATTCAGTCAGCCTTAGTCTAAGGCTCCGGCTTCTGCTTTTGCCAAAAAGCTCTCGGACCTTACTGATTTAGGAAATTTTTGAAGAGTTTTTGCAGTCAGGCAGTATTTTTACACTGTTAACATATATCTACGCATGCGCAGTTTATGTTACTATTACGGCCGCCAATTCTTATTCGACGTTTTTGACAACTTTGACGTTTCTCACAGATGTCAAGACTGTCAACGTCACTTTTCCCAGTTATTGTGTTTGTGTGTTGTATAGTTTTGGTTATTTGATTTTGATTTTCATTTTCCCATGTGATTTACATTTTTAAACCTCTGTCGGCGGTTTGTGCTATTTGTGCCCGTTGGGTACAAGGTATAGTGTAAATAAATTATCAAAATTGAAGAGCTGGCAGCTGTCGCAGAGCAGCATACGGCACACTTAAGGTCATGTCTAATCAAAACCAATAAATTGGCAGGCACAGTCATCAAAATACTGCCTGGCGGTTCAGTGATTTTCTATTATAATGATCAGTGATTGGTTAAATTGAAGAGATTTAATTCTCGACCGCGGAGAACTTTTTGTATCTGGATTTGATCTTTTTCGTACGAACGTAGTCATATGTTTGCCATCTGACCGATACAGTTGCTCGCAAGCAACACCTGTACCCGTAGCCGGTCTTCAATTTGTTGCTACACACATACGGACAGACGGACAGCCTGCTCGCAAAAATGACCAACACAAATGTGATTTAGTATATTAGCAACGTTACCGGTTTTTTAACGCAGAGGCGGGTGGCAGAAGGATCCTTTCTACTTTCCATTAGCTCGGGAACAAACAAGATGAATTTAGAGTCAAGAAAGATGTTTTCGTATGGTGAAATAAATGGCATGATGCTAGAGGAAAGAACCAATCATTGAGATCTAAACCAAAATGATAGATCGGATGAGTTGGAGAGAAGAATGTGATAGTAGCCTAGATATTCCATGAAAATTCTGGATAATCGGGAAGTCACATATCGAGATTCACATTTACGATGATAGAGTTGTGTAATACTACACAGATGAAGTGTCATATACACGCTAAATAGCAACACGAGCTAGCTGCTATCTACCCGCACTTTGTTATTGTACACATAGCTGGACAGGCAGCACCGAGCCATTGTCGCCATTTTCAATGATTCGATCTTCCAGTGATGTGCTGTGTAGTATGTACAGGGTTTGTCCGGAAAGTAATAGGACTGAGTCGATTAAAAAAATTTATTGAGCCAATCCAAATCCAAAGTGTGTTGTTCCTGACTCTGGCAATTGTAGGGCATCTGCATAACACTTGCTTGGCCATTTCGTCTCCTTCCATATCCAGGCTGCTCAAGTGATGACGCAATTCGCAATGACCAGTGTACAATCCGACCACCAATAGCGGATGACGAACTTGAACGCAATTTCCAATAGGATATTGGAGATTGCATACGTGTCAAGCCATCTTCCAATCTGTTTCATGCTACGATCCCCGAAAGTGTTCAACATCAAGATGTAGTTGAGCATTCTCTATTTTGAGTCTCTAATAGTCAAAACGAATAACCGAATCAACAATCGATTTCAACTGTACTTGTGGTGTCGCTCATAAACACATATCTAAACTGAATCCAAATTCAAGATGAGATGTAAATAATAACAGTTAGCGCGTGATCTCTCGGTAACGGGTGGGGACAACGCCTCTTATTGGTCAATTCGCCATTAAATTTCAAGCGGTCGCCTGGCGGAATAATGCGCGGGGCAGGGGCAGGGCAGGCAGAGTTGCATTCAGGCCACCGACCGTCGCGTGTATCACTGCGTGCTCGTGTTTTCGTATTCACTTTGCTTGGTTGTTGCTGTTGTTGTTGTTGAGTGTATTTGAGTAATTTGTTAAGTTTCTGTTTGTTATTGTTATTCCTCGTTATTATTTGTTTTGAACCAATCCTGAACATATCCAGTACAGATACTGCTGACGAGGCTGTAGGCTACTCCCTTAGCCCTCCTAGAAAGCGATAAAAAAAAAGACATCTTAGCGTAGACATGAAAGACGTCATATTGAATACATTCAAGATAGAGCGAAAGGAAGACGAAACATCAACTAACCCGAAAATAGCTCTGAAAGTGGCAGATAAAATTGGGGTATGCCAAGCGACAGTGTACAATGTTTTGAACGAACATAAGAAAAAGCATGCCTTTTCCAAGCCAATGACGGGGAAAAACCGCAAAAGTATCATAAGATCGTTGGATGACGCTGTCTATCATGCGATTCGGACGAAAGTGCACGAGTTCTTCTTCAGAAACGAAATACCGACAGTTGATAAAGTACTACGGATGGTTAACGAGGATGCTATATTACCAAATTTCAAACGTTCGACTATGCATAAACTTTTGAAGCATCTTAATTTCGAATGGAAGAAACGAGGTCGTAACAGCTTACTTATGGATAGAGAAGAAATTGATCTGTGGAGGAGAGAGTACCTGACCAAAATTAAATCATTCACGGATCAGCACAGGAAGATCTATTACCTGGACGAAACCTGGATTAACGCTGGGCAGACTACTCCGAAGGTATGGGTTGACAAAACTGTGACTTCATCCAGAAGGGCATTTCTAGATGGACTGTCGACCGGATTGAAAAATCCAGCAGGTAAATAGATCGAAGTAGTTAACGGTATCAATTTTTGCGCACAATATCTTCGTACCTACAAGACGTGCATGTGTACTTAGCGGATTTTATCTTTCTAGGCAAAGGAAAAAGGCTCATTATTTGCCACATTGGGGGTGTAGATGGCTTCGTGGATGACGGCTTATGGTCTTTTGAGTAAAAAAAACCACTGACTACCATGAAGAGATGAATGGGGAAGCATTAGAGAATTGGTTTTCAGTGTGGCAAACGCTGCGTGAAGAGGGGCTGTATCCGTTTCACGTCCAACCTGTACAAGCCCTTCAACCTGACGATTTTTCAGCAAGAGTGCGGTTTTGTGAGTGGTTGTTGCATCAACATGACAATAATCCGGACTTTTTGAAGTTCATATTGGTGACAGACGAATCTACGTTCACGCGTAATGGGGTGAATAACTTTCGCAACACTCATGTTTGGTCAGTAGAAAATCCGCACGCTATCCGTCGGGCACATTTTCAACAGACATTTTCGGTGAATGTTTGGGCTGGCATGGTGAACGGTATGCTCATTGGACCATTTATTCTCCCAAATCGATTGGACGGGATGCAATACCTAGACTTTTTATGCAACATTTTGCCTTCCTTGTTAGAAGATGTGCCGCCCCATTTTAGACGCGAAGTGCGTGAGTTTTTGAATGAATTATTTCCGAATAGGTGGATCGGACGTAATGGGCCCGTAGCGTGGCCTCCGCGATCTCCAGACATAACACCATGTGATTTTTTTCTTTGGGGAGAAATGAAACGCTTAGTGTACAAAACTGAAGTGCATACGGTTGACGAACTTCGTCTCAGAATTGAACAAGCTGGTGCTTTCATTCGCGGGAGGGACTCCATTCTCAAAGCCTGCACCGATGCTTGGCTACGTCGAGCACGCACCTGTGTTTTTGAATCAAACGGCGATAACTTCGAAAATACCTATAAAGTACGTTTACTCTGTTCGTGGTCTGCACCACCGCCTGCGCTGCTCGGTAGTGCATCAGCTGATTTCATTTTCTGTTGGAGCGGTATGATTTCGGGCAGAGACGTACTTAGCCCTTCTCGTCAACTGGAGAGTGAGTACTTTTTCCTTTATTTTTTTTTACTTGGCCGCCTTCGTTTCACTACACATTACCTTTGTTATTTCAAGGGTAGTTGTTTCTGTAAAGGACAACCCCAACTTTGCGGACACCCTGTAGTATGACTTAGAAATGCGAAAATTGAAAACAATCGGAATTAAAAGAAACCGTGAAAGAATCAGGAATAGAAACTATGTATGTGTATTTTCCTGATATCTTCTTAGCCGATCCTCAGCTACGCCTCTGTCGGACAGAGCAGTTATTTAATTTGATATCGTCCAGGTTTGGGTCCATACCACAACCATTCCATACCGTACGCTGGACGGCGACCATCCGACCATCAGGCGATTAGCATACGAATATTCCATTAATACTTTTTTAAGAAGTCCACCGGGCCTGATTTGTGAGATGACTTCGGATTGTAGATCTTGCCAGGAAAGAGAAGACGAGAGAGGGGTCACGTTCACTGGAAGTTGTTGGAGTTTATGCGGTAAACCACGGACGAGGTCGGCAGACATTTCACCAGAATGCCGATGCGTGGGATGGAATCAGAATAACATAGCATCAAGATGAATGATAACTAAGATTTACTTAAAATGGTCTACTATTGTATTAATACTATGCTCCAAATTACTACAGCACACATTGGTTCAACCTCAAAAAAGTTAACTAGATGCTTGGATAACAAGAAAAAACATTCAAATTGAGAAAGAATATACACGATCACAGGGGAATACGTACATTTACGCAGTATCTACAAAGAAAAGAATCATCTAGTTTTTATGCAGGTTTTAGGTTTGTTTTGTAGAAATCACATACAAAGTATCTCTCAAATAAAGAAAAGAAAGGAAGAACGTCCTTTAACGAAGAGCAAAACTAATTGAAGAATATTTAGCCAATACAGGAATTAGTGATATTGTTGTTGAAATGCTAAATATTATTGCCAACATACATTAAGAAGTAATCTCTCAGTATATGTGGTTTTTTTAATATATCGTATAACTCTTTTCTTAATAATTTTTTGCTGGCAAAATAATATCCCACTGTATATCGCGTGCCACCTCCTATCGCGTCTCGTCTCGATTACCACTTCGGCTTTCAATTGAGCAGTTCGAACCATAAACGAATAACTACTGCTGATAATTACGACCCGTGTTATTGGTTGTAAAGATTGATAGGAAACGACTGGTTCAAAATGGCGGCGGCGTCGTATTTCTTTCGCGAGACAAAAGACGAATTTCTAAGACCGCGTCCACCGTGAGTTATGCCACTCGTAAACTGAATAAAATAATTTATTGGCCCTATAAAGCATTATTGATAGATATATGATATGTTACTCTGACGGCGATTTTTTCGTTATGTGTTGGTTTCAGGTTTTAGTATCTTCATCAGTAGTTGTGTAATGTTTCTACTTAAATGCCTCGTTTTACTGTCTTTGTTTGGCCATGAAGGGCACATAAGAAAGCTTCTAGAAGCAAATGCCCTTGTGACGATTGAAACAGGGGGCGGAACTAAGGGACAGCAGTAAATAGCACTTTAGATATATCGTAAGGTGCCACAAATCCAACAGCGGAAAGCTACGTGCAAGGCCTTGTGTCAAGGCTATGGAATCTGATTAAAGTGTCAAGGCAGGACACATTGCTTTAGGCATTGTATATGGGTGTCAACATAGATCCATTTGGGTCGCAGTGACGTTAAGGCTAGTAAGCCAACCCCTTTCTTTTATAATCTATAGCATAGTGTATATATAACAAACTTTCAGCTAACCTCAGGAATGTCAGTAGTATTGCTAGTTTTAAATGTAAACTACGAAAATTATTAGTTGAAAAATGTTTCTACTCTTTGTCTGAATACCTCGCACTGTGATATATTTTTTTAAACTTTTTTCATATGTGAATGTCTGTACTCCTTAAGTTGTCCCTTGTTGTACTTTGTAAATACTTATGTTTGTTTCGTTTTTATTTTCAATTATGTGTACTATGTACCTCCCTCTTAGGACGAGTCTTATGTCATTTTTTATGATCTACAAGACAATAAATGTATCTATCTATCTATAAAAAGATAGCTTAAAGCATCCCACAAACCGGCGCGAAATATTCGCTTTGGCTGCGAAAATTTCGCGGCGATGAATTCGCGATTAGATTAAAACGCGGCGGTTTACGGACAGACTCAGAATGCGATTCTTCCAGCGTTTTTATCGCGGCGTATTTCAGTTCGCCCTTGACCGCGTTTCTGACGCCGTTCTTCAAAAATTCGCAATGGCAAAAACGGAATTATTGATAGAAATAGTGAAAGTATCCTTGTTTGTATGATTTGTCGATCGATGAATACAGGAATGTGAGAAAGAAAGACAAGATTTGGATGGAAATAGGAAGAGAATTAAATACAAATGGTATGTACCTAATATTTTTTATTAACTTGTTAAATAATTTACAGTCTACACAAATGTGAAAACGAACATTCTATATATTGGGCATAGGCATATCAGAATTAAAATAATTTACGAATTTGTCACGAGTAGAAAATGCTAGCCTTGCTGCCCGCCGAGGATCATTTGCTATATCAGTAAAAGCTCCAAGCACGGGTTCTGGGGGATCTAAGAATTGAAAATATTTGTCATCGCCACTTTTACTTCGTACAAAATTGTGTAAAACACATGCCGTACGTACAATTAGAATAGTAGTATCTACTTTAGTTTCTAATGGCCTGTAAAATATTCGATATTTTTGAGACAAAATACCAAACGCATTTTCCACGACCCTTCTAGCTCGACAAAGTCTTACATTGTATTTCTATTTTCTGACGTCTGTTAAAGTCTGCTTATAAGGAAATTGTCTCATAATGTATGGTTTTAAAGCAAATGCTTCATCACCAATTAAGACGTACGAGCAGATTTCATTTTGCCCAGGGAGAAATCTAGGTGCAGGGACACTCATTAAATTTTGTTCAAATCGTTTTCCCATGTTTGAGGTTTCGAAAATACCCCCATCACTATTTTTTCCGAAACCACCAATATCAACACATATAAATTTATAGTCTGGGCCAACAATGGCCATAAGTACTATTGAATATTTATGTAAATAGCACCAGTAATTGGAGCCACTGTTGTTAGGTCTCTTGATTGTTACATGTTTACCGTCCACGCTGCCAATGCAATTGGGAAATCCCCATCTATTTTCAAATTCTTCAGCACATTTTTTCCATATATTCTCTGTTGGTTCTGGTAAATATATATGCTCCATATGTCTGCATATCGCTTCACAGACTTCGGTTACGATTGCACTCACTGTTGTAAAGCCAACTCGAAAGCTATGCCCGATGGTATAGAAGGTGTCACCAGTGGCAAGGAATCTATAAAAAAAATCGTTTTTAGGTGATGAAGTAAAAAAAAGGTGGAAGAATATCAGAGACACATTTGCAAAATATATAAAATCTACCAAACCAAAGACCGGCCAAGCAGTGGGCAACATAAAAAAATGGCAGTGGGCTGACTACATGGAATTTTTCCGCCCTTTTTTGCCATTTGCCAAAACGTCGTCTAATGTGAAAGATATTGACGTCATACATTATGAGACTGCCGAATTTAACTCAAATATATATCAGGAAAGGGCTGGAAATGTAGAAACCGAAAATTTGGAAGACCGCGGCCATGGAGAAGATGAAAATGCTGATGTAGATGCAGAAGATGCACAGAACGCCTCGGCAACACAGACAGCACCACCTTCTTCATTGAACACTACATCAGTGACTACTCCAGGGCACACCTCTCCGCAGACTACACCAAAATATAAAACGAGCAGAAAACGCTATGAACCACCATCTTCGTCTGTACAACAGCTCATTAATTATTTTGAAGGTAAAAAAGCTAAAAAAGAGAACGAGGCCATTGATTCACTTTTCTTGGCACATGCACAGACTGTGAAAACACTTCCCTTAAAGCGTCAAGCCCGAATAAAACTAAAAATAGCCGAATTAATAGCGCACGAAGAATTTGAACATATTGAAGAAATGTCTTCAGCGTCTACCCAGAATTCTGCAAGTATGTATGATAGTAGTATGTCGTCCTTCCCAAGCGGCACTGGGATTACTGCAATAATATACCCAACAGAGGAGGCAAATTCTGCCTCGAATTATTTAGCAACATTTAATCCTAGTGGCAACATGTAGTCCAATTATTACAATAAAATATTTATTTCACGATCCCTGAAGTTTTCGTATTCGATAAGCCTACTAATTTTAATACATATAATTTTTTTACCTGAGTGTAATAGCAAGTCGTTCTTTTGGCGAAATAGCTTCACGATAATTTGTGTCAGATTTTCGTATTTCATCTTTCACCAAGTTCAATATTTCATCGAAACACTCTGGAGTCATTCTAAAATATACGTAAAAGCGCTGTTCATCCAGCCGAAGTTGTGGCATCAAGGTATGGTATTCCCCAAATTTATTTCGTTCCAAGTTAATATCATGTACCCACTTCCTTCGTTTCCTAAACAAAATTGAAAATATTTGTTTTATGTACTTCGTTAAACTTAATACATACCCAACTATCAAATGGCGTTAAATAAACATAACTTACCGTGCATTTTGTTCCTCTTCTAAAGCAAGAAATAGAAGTGCCTCCTCTTCTTCTGAAGACGAGCTCATTGCAAAAGGCAAAAATAAAATGTACGCAACCTGTCGAAACCTTCACGTTCGCGGAGCGAATAAGACGCTTTGGTATGAATAAACAGGCGAAACAGATTGCGAATTTCGCTCTGAATTTCGTTGCGAATACTTCGCCGCGATTATTTCGCGCCGGTTTGTGGGATGCTTTACGCATCACACCCTGTCAGAAAGAAAATTGACCATTAGAAAATATAACCTTAATTACTTTGACACTGAACCGACATCGTATGATTTATCTGGCAATCGATCAATCGATAAACATAAAATTTATTTTCCATTTAATTACCGATGCATCGATTAAATAAATATTTGCCGGGTTTTGCAATTAACATCTCGGTACGGCACCACACGTGCGTACATACAACATAGTGAAGTTCGCATGCAAAATATGCTTTTAGACGCCGTAAAAACCAATATCGCTATTTGCAATACGCTCTGGTGAATATTCTACGTTTGTTATGGTGTTGATTTTGAAATGCACATATTGGTTCTTGGGTGTGATATCGGCACGCAGGTGGTATAAGGAAACCATTCTGCGATGGCTAGAAGAATTGATGCACATGCTGGTTATATTTCAGGTTTTTCTGCAGTCAAATGACCGATTCGTAGCCCTGATGACGACATAGAGACGCATGAGCGTCAAAATGAAAGTTTGTTAGAGGGGGGGCGGATCATCGGCAAGAGATAACGTTTTGTCAAAGCCTTGAAAAAAGTGAAAAAAATTTTCTCAAATCACGTCAAGGTATGCAAGTTTTAAAGCCCAACCGGATTCTGAGAGGGGCAACACCTCTTGGCACTCTCCCTGCGGGTACGAAAAGGGTG